AAAAAAAAAAAAAGGCCACACAAACAGATCTCTGCACCCCATTCCACATCTGGAGAAAGCCAGTCTCAGGGTGTCAGGCAAGGCCCTGAGATGGTCTGCATCCACAGTGTCTCCCAAAGCATGCCAGTCACAGTTTGGGCGCTTATTTTCCCCCCGCTGGGGCTGCCCTAACAGCCTCCTCATCGGTTTTCCTGTCCATCCGTCCCTCACACTGCTCACTGGTTGGATTTCATCATGTGATTTTCTGACATTGTGTTTTAATTTCTTTTTCATATTTATTTATTTTTAATTTTTAAAAAATTTTTAATGTTTTATTTATTTTTGACAGAGAGACAGCATGAGCGGGGGAGGGTCAGAGAGAGAGGGAGACACAGACTCCGAAGCAGGCTCCAGGCTCCGAGCTGGCAGCACAGAGCCCGACGCGGGGCTCGAACCCACAAACCGCGAGATCAGGACCTGAGCCGAAGTCGGACACCCAACCGACCGAGCCACCCAGGCATCCCTTGATTTCACGCTTTCATTTCACAAACTCATTGGCTCAACTGTGTGCCTGGTTCCTAATGAACTATTACATGATTTATTCCTCATAACAACCCAGGGAGGGGAGGACCACTCTTACCCCTATTTTGTAGCTGAGCACGGTAAGTAGAGCCGGGGTAGAAAGCCAGGCAACAGCGTGGCTCCTCTGTCCAAGGGCCACCACCTCTATGCTGAACCGCCTCGCCTGAGGCCCCCTCGAATGTGTAGGGCCACCACCCGCGTGCTCTAAGAAAGTTCCTTCTCCTCATCCAGGAGCCCATATTTTCTCTACGAGGTGGCTCATCCTAGTTGACTGGGTTCCCCAGCTGCTGAGCACCTGTACGTCCAGTGGGTCTCAAAGGGTGGTCCAGACTCAGGAATATCGGCTGCTGTTCTTGGGTCCCTCCCCAGACCCCCACCCCAGAACTAGGAACTCAGGGTCGGGGGCAGTGATCTGTTATAATGAATCTTTTCTTTTGTCT